CACAGGACACGCGGATTCGAGCAGCGTCTCAGCGCCCCATGCGAAGCAAGCCCCGAGGTGTGTCTCAGGCACTGAGCCTTCATCACACAGCACGACTTCTGGAAGCAAGCTGGTGGAAGCGATGGCGCCAGCGGAATCGTCGGCATGCCAATGAAAAACGAAGAACGGACTGTAGGATCAGACCTCGGTGTTCCACGAACGAGGGATGAATCTCTCTTTCTAATTCCGCCGTGCGAAGTGCAGGCAGGCGCTCGCGTGGCGCGATGGTTCTCCTCGCAGGCGCCCGGGCGCTCTTCGAGAACCATCGTCGTTCGGCGCCGTTCTTGCGTCAGGAAGCAATCCGAATTCGAACCAAGTGCCCCCCGAAGGGTTTGAGAATTTGTTCGGGGAACGCTGTCTTGCGAGGCGAAGATCGCCGGCGACGTGAATGAGGAAGACCACAGAAAACCGACAAACAGCGTTCTCCGAAAGCCCCCTGGGCAAGTTCGGGAAACAAGGGGCATAGTCGTTCGGCGTGAATGATAGATTCTGGGGAGATCCGAACTATGTCGATGAGTTTCCCGAAATGCGCGACCAATTTTTCGGGGAACGCCGTCATGCGACGCGAAAATCGCTGATGAGGCTAACGAAGGAAATCGCAGAGAAAATGATATAGGCGTTCCCCGAAGTTCTCTGGATCAGTTCGGGGACCATTGCCGTTCGACGATTCTCGTTTCAGCGCGGACTTCTTCAGGAGTCACCCGCAGACCGATCGCCGGCAGCATCGCGCTGTGTTGCATGCACACTGGCTGTCCAGCCTGGAGCGCAAGTTCGCCGGAGAAGTAGTCCGCTTTGGCGGGAAGTTGCCGGAGCATCGGCAGTTACGACGCGTCATGGTCCATTCCCGATTCGGCGCGAGAGTCCAACACGAGGACTGCCTCTCACTGACGGTTTCGCCGAACGGAGAGCACTCGGCCCTCGCGCTTCGCCTCAGCAGGACAACGGAACGATCCGGCTGTCAATCCCGCGTAGAAGTGGAAGTAGAAGATGGCAAGCTTTGATTATCCTCAACTCGAGGAATGCGTCGAGCGGGAGCTCCCCGAGTATGACCTCGGACGGGCGGCTACAGCGCAGGATTCGCACGCTGTGGTTGAAGGCGTTGCTAGGCATTCGGCTTCCAGCCTTGCATGCTCTTCTCAAGGAGACCCCAGGAGGACGATGTTGCTGCTATGGACTCAGAGCACATGCGGCCCTTGCGGGTTGGGGCACGACTTTGGAAAGGTGGGGAGGCGTCACCGAAGAAGGTATACCAGTTTGAATTGCGAGAAGTGATAGCCACGGCGATGTTCAGAGCCATAACCCGCCCTTGCTAGGCCAATCTCCTGTGCTCCGTGGATATATTTGAGGATTCTCTCGAATTTCAAGTTTGCCCAACCCGGGGAAGGGCTCGAGGTTACCCATAATATGGAGTCTGGCAGCCCGTCGTTCCCTTTTGTCCCCCCTGCCTTTGAACCTCCCCCGCCTCATCCCCCCCCCCTCTCCCACCTGATGTGCTGACAAGAATTACTGCCAACAGGGTTGAATCATCCAGGAGAAGGAGGGAGAGGTCCAGGGAGCGCAACGGGATCCGGGTGAACCTGCCAGGCATTGTTCTCGGCAGGAATGGAGAATGCACCGCCTGCGGCCCAGAATTATTTGCTTCAGACTGATGCGCATAGATGGTTCACTCTTGCCGCTGGTCACCCATAACCATGGGAGTAGGCGGGTTAATATCTATCTGAGGGGGGTGGTACTTGTAGCGAGTTCGCGGTTCTAGCCGTGTGCTCGTGCCTTCCTTAATCCCCCCTCTTCGGTGGTGGTTGCTACACTGGCGGTGCTGTTACCTCCCTCTCCCGCCAGCTCACGCGCCCCGCAGTTCGCGCGGCGGGTGCCTGCGCCAACTTCCACGTGCTGCACGTCGGCCTGTAGGGCACGGCTCAGCTTGATGTTTCGATGCTTCGGTCAATACTGTGTTTGTTACAACCTTGCTTTCGGGCCCGTTGTTGGTGTCCCCTGGCCCTGTGCCTGCTGGGATCTCTGGACCTTGGTGGTCTTGGTTTTCTCCTCCCCCTTTTTAGGGGCCCAGGGCTGGAGCTACATACTCCAGATTTCGTAATAAAGGGAGGGGCGTCTCATTTCGGGGGGGGTCTCTTCCAGGGGGTCTGGGGACGATGTTTTGGAGGGTTCTCCCACGGGGGAGGTCTGAAATGGCTTGTCTTGGAGGGTCCAAACCCCCTCCCCTTTTATTACGAAATCTGGAGTAGGCTTACCCCCACCGCTTGTCTTCCCATCGGGAAGCCTGCGTGGCCTGCCGATCCGATCCCATCCTCCTCCCTCGGGCCCCTCGGCTCCCTGATGGCTCCGGAGCTGGCGCGCGCCGGCGCTGGCGAGACACGCCCGGCACTTGACGGCGGGCGCCAGGCTGCACGCCGTTATCTCGCACGTTAGTTATGCGTTTCATGCAGTTTTCGTAGTGTTTACGCCAATATTAAAAATTGGGTGTTCGATACGTTTTTGTTGCTGTGTTTGTAATTTTTCATTCAAAACAAGCACATTCAGAGGAAAGGAACGCAACCCCGCTTGAAGAATGCACGATCAGAGGTTTTCGGAGGTCCGCGCGGACTTCCGAAGCCTCATGGCACATGCCCTCCTCGTCCCGCTCGTGTCCTGCTCCAGCTCCCCTGACGCTCCTTGATCGCACGCGTTGGCGCGGCCTTGCGGCGGTGATCCGCTTCGGTTTTGCACCGGAGCGCTGTCGTTTGGAGAAGATAAGAAACAACAAAGCAAAAAAAAAATGTCCTGAGCTCCCAGCCTGCCCGCACTCCCCTCTCCGCGGCCGTCCTCGCCTTCCCCCGCCTCCCGGGTGTCACTCTGCCGTCTCGCAGCCAGGCCCGGAGGCCCTCCCGCGCCGTGCGGTCGCCGGCGCCGCGACTGACACAGGGTTCTGCTTGTGCTGTTCCACCATGGGCTCGGGGATCCCAAGACGGCGCATCGACAGCAGCGCCCTCTGCAGTGTATCGCGCGCCGCTGTCATTCGGAGCATCGGCCACGGAGGGGCCCGGGAGGCCGCAGCGCTGGCACGCGTGCTGAGAACGTCACGGGCTCGAGAGCGCCATGCGAATCGGGTGAGCGCGCTGCGCTGGGAGTCGGGTAGTGATCCGAGGATGTCTCGGGCGAGTGGAGCCCCCGAGGTCCCAGTTTCTCTCCGGGCCCTGGAAAACCTGGACGTGCAAGGCCAGAGCCTGCCAAGATCCATCGGGAGAGCACGAAGGGTGGCCTTGGGGTAGGTTGTTTGGCGGCCGCTTGGGGAGTATCATGGTACAGAAATGTACACGCCGAGAAATGAAGAATGGACGGATGCAGTGCACATCCTCGCAATAATTCATACAGCAATTTTTCAGTACCTAAGCACACAAGACCAACGAAAAATTGGGCTGGTGGCACAAATCAATATTCAGTGGCGCTTCTGCGCGAATTCGCTAATTACCCCGTTCGGGCGGGCGCCTGTGGGGGTGCTGGTGGGGAGACGCTTGGGAGGTCAGGTGCCACAGAGCATTTCACCCGAAGACAGAGAGAGACAGAGAGAGAGAGATTGTCAACAGGAGAACAGAGATATTGTCAAAGAGACTACCAAAAAGATTAATGTATGATGGGTCCGATGCGCCCGGTGGCCCTTCCTTGTGTTTCGCAAGGAGCGAAGCTGACCAAACAAAATAACCTGGCGAAGGACCCAACCAAATGCAGTTGTGGGTACTGCAGTTGTGGGTATCGTCTTCGGTGGAGCTTCCCGCGGGCGACGAAACGCTGTACTGGGCGGGGGCGACGCATGTGAACTTTGCCACTGGGGCCTTCGGTGGAGCCCCCTATGGGCCACGAAACGCTGTACTGTGTGGGGGGGGGGGGGGGCGCATGTGAACGGGTCCAGTGAAGCCTTCGGTGGAGCTCCATCTGGGGCCACGAAACGCCGTGCTGGGTGGGGGAGACGCATGTGGACACCGCCATTGGGGCTTTCGGTGGAGCTCCGTATGGGGTCACGAAACGCGGGTGATGATGATGATGATGGTGATGGTGGTGATGATGATGATGGTGATGGTGATGGTGATGGTGATGGTGATGGTGATGGTGATGGTGATGATGATAATGATGGTGATGGTGATGGTGATGATGGTGATGATGGTGATGATGATGATGATGATGATGATGATGATGATGATGATGATGATGATGATGATGGTGGTGGTGGTGATGGTCATGGTGATGGTGATGGTGATGATGATGCTGACGATAATGATGATGATGATGATGATGATGATGATGATGATGATGATGATGATGATGATGATGATGATGATGATGATGATGATGATGATGATGATGATGATGGTGATGGTGATGGTGATGGTGATGGTGATGATGGTGATGGTGATGGTGCTGGTGCTGATGATGATGGTGACGGTGACAGTAATGATGGTGATGATGATGATGGTGATGGTGATGGTGATGGTGATGATGATGATGATGGTGGTGGTGGTGGTGGTGCTGATGATGATGGTGATGATGATGATAGTGATGATGATGGCGATGACGATGACGCTGACGATGATGATAATCATGATGATGGCGACGATGATGATGATGATGATGATGATGATGATGTGGATGAGAACGACGAGGACATGCGGAGGGCAGAGGCAAGGGTGGGAGGCGGGAGGAGGAAGGAGGAAGGAAGGAACGAGGGGCGCTGTCTCTTCAAAACGAGGACCCAACACCGCAGGATGGTTGGGAACAATGCCGGGCAAACACCAGGCGCTGTAAAGCTGGGGGCAAGTAAACGTCTGAATACGTGTGGACGCAGACGGGGGGATGTCGGTGCAGACGTAGAGACGGCTGGAGGTGGTTAGGTAAATGTTGCTTGCTGCGGGTTCTGCTCAAAAAAGCTATCATCGTCATGATCATGCTCGTCAACCGCCGCCGTTTACATTCATGCCTGCACTGCCCATTAGGATTCGACGCGCCGGTGCGGCGTATCTCCGCAGCATCCATTTAGGATTCAAGACGCCCATTCCAATATAGCCCGCCATATTCTCACGAGCGACAAGTTACTGGGCTGCTGAAGCATTGTTGCGCCCAGTCGCCTGGACCGCCACAAGTTCCGAACGATTACGGGACACACCGGACGATGGCGGAATCTTTGCCGCCCAAGTTGAGGCGCAAGATCACGGAAGAGAAGGCGGCTTCGAGAGCAAAGAAGGAATTCGAAGGCATAAAGACAATCGAGGACGCATTCGCTTTTTGCGACAAGGACGGAGATGGCGTTATTTCAAAACGTGAGCTCGGCCAGGCCCTCAGTTCGCTGGGTGAACACAAGAGCGATGAAGAACTCCAAGAGTTGATGAACAGAGTTGACGCCGATGGCTCTGGGACGCTCGATTTCGACGAATTCGCGTGTTTGGTGAAGACCGAAAAGCCGATTCATAGTAGACTCGTCAAGGGCCGCAAGCACCTAATGGCCTGGATCGGAGACTGTGCTTACGCTGTATCTTCTCGAGTTGGACGTGGTCTCGGCTTCTTTTGTCGATGCTTCTGTTGTTGTCATGCGAACCGCTACCGTGAATCGCCGTATCTTCCGGCGAACTCGGAGCTGGGCACTCGAGATGAAGCTTTACGCGCATTGGGGGCTTGTGCAAGGCTAGTAGGGGGCACTGGATACATCGATGCAGAATTGCACGGCAAATTCGATCCTCCGCTGATTGGGAAGCACAGTGGTTTCAAGATAGAGTCTCATGTGGATCAGATTTGCGAGACGTCGGGATCCACATCTGCGATCCAAGCTGCATGTTACACAAATGCCAGGTACCCAAAAGCTTGCATCGTTGCTTTCCGTGGAACGATGAGTTACGCAGGTCTAAAACAGGATGCTACCTTGCTCACTCCTTACAAAGGCACCCCAATATATAAGGCATGCAAACAATCTTGTAAATTTGTGAAGCGGTGCCAGGAGAACCACGAAGGAAAAACTATATTCGTCACCGGTCTTTCTCTTGGCGGCTACTTAGCAGAAGTGGTCGCATCTAAGTTGGATGTAGCTGGGGCATCGTTCAATAGCCCAGGCCCTTGGCGATGGCATTTATCAATGATCCCAAATAATGCAGGTCATGAGCGTCCGCCCTTTGAGATTCATTTGACGAGGTCCGACCGCGTGGCCAACATATTGTTTCCCAAACCGCAGCACAGTACGCATATCGGACGACCGCTCTGGCACCACGGGAAAGTTCATCGCATATGCGATCCTTATGTGCCTGACGAAGTTGTTGGCATCCCATCTGGTATAAAAAATCAGGGGGATACTCATATTCTATACGTCAACCAGAAGGATGAGTTGGGCATCGAATCCAGCACTTCGGAATCTAGCACTGCGGACTCTTCGTCGGATGAGTCAGGGACTCGTTGCTGACTGCAGCGGAGAGCACCAAGCAGGTCTCTTCAGAGTGACAACTGGGCACGAGAAACACTCAGCAGCATAATTATGAACGCTACTGATCAAGAGCATATGCTAACACCATTGATTCCAATGATTGGTTGGTCAAGCACTCGATCGCCATGCTCATCAGCATCTCCCGCTGTTGTATCCCGCTCGTCCACAGCCCTTCCTCCCCCGTTCAGTCGTTCCCCTCTGTCTGGTATCGAAGACCTACGGCGAATCACCGCCGCCCCCTGCCTTTTAGGATACGTCTATGTGGCCAAACGTTTGGACAAAGCTTGGCCACGATGTTGGACCATGCGTTCCCCAAGCCGTTGTGGAAGCCTTTCGGGTAACACGTGGGGGAGGAAGAGGAGGATGAGATGAGGGAGGAACAAGGGCAATGAGCAGAAGGATGAGGAGACCTCTTGGGAGTTTCGTGGGTCGTCATTGGCACACCCTGGGGGCCTCTTGGAGGCCTCTTGGGGGCCTTCTTGCGCCTCTCGGGGGCCGTTGGGGGCTTCTTCGGGGGCCTCTTTAGCCGTGTTACGGCGATCCTGGCCCGCCTAACACCGTCGGGCGCCGTCTTGGGAGCCTCTCTGGGCCGTCTTGGGGCCCTCTTGGGGCGCTTCAGGGTCGCCTTGAAAGCCATATTGGGCGTTTTGGAAGGCCTTTTGGGCCGTTCTGGGGCCACCTTGAAGGCGGGTTGAGGCCATATTGGGGGCCTCTTCGGCGTTCTGGGCCGTCGGAAGGCAGGTTTGACGCAGACGCCAAAAACCTGTTCAAAACCCAAGGAGAATCAATGAGTTGGGCCTCGTCGGGCATCCCTTGAGGACCTCTTGGAGGCCTCTTGGGCCTTATTGGGGGCTTCTTTGGCGCTTCTTGGACACCTGATGCTCTCTGGAACCAGCTGGGCTGTCTTGGGGCATCTTCGAGACCATCATGAGGCAATCTTGGGCTCTCTTGGGGCCAGGTTCGCCGTCTGGGAGGCCATCGTGACAGTCTTGGAGGCCATCTTGAAGCAATCTGTAGCGGAAAAGCCGACGGGAGACGCAGCTGGAAGAGCTCTCCAGGTGACCAGCGCGTTGTGCCGAAGCCCCCGAGGGGAGGTTTAAAAGAACCAACAACCTCCTGAAGTTCAGCACGCTGGGCACCTTGGTGGCGAGCCAACAGGGGGCGGCGGATCGGACGGCCTCCCTCCAATCCCGCCACCGTGCCCAGAAGCCTCTTCGAGGCTTGTCGGGATTTCTTGGGAACTCCATTGGGGTCACGTTGGATGCCTCCTGCGCGCCTCTGCGGAGCCTCTTGCGGATTCCTGTAGGGCTCTGGAGGCTTCTGCGGGAGTATTGGGGCCCCTTTGGGGCCTTGTTGACGGCCTCGGGGGCAATCTTGGGGTGGAGGGCGACACATGTGAGTTTGAGTTCCCCCATTCTGGGCCACTCATTCGTGGGGCCCTCTTGGGGTATCCTTGAGCTTCTCTTGGAAGCTCAAGGGCTGTTTGGAGCGATCTTGGATGCCTCCTGGGCCGTCGCGGGCTCTCTTGAGGCCGAAAGCCAAAAATGCTAAAATTATGTAAACACTTATAGGGTTTGGAAGGTCTCTAAAGAGTGGCCATAAATGGCCATTCGAAGATTCAACGCGTCGCCGGGTCCCCTTTTTCTCCCCTATGTTTGGCTGGCGGTTTTGGTCCACCACGCTGCCCACTCTCTATGCCCTCCTCCTCCTCCTCCTACTCTTCCTCCTCCTCCTCCTCCTCCTGCTCCTCCTCTATGTGTGTCTCCTCGGGCGTGCAAGTTCACGTGCTGGCGCAAAAAAATCGTTCCCGACTGTCGGTCACGTTGGTAGGACATCGTTGCTTGGCCGGCACAGGTCATGGTTTCTCGTGTTGGTTTGCGCACAGTACTGCAGGTTGGCCTTGACGTGACTCTGGGCTTGCCTGGTACATGTGGACCATGTTCGCAGTTGTTCGCTACGATGTAAAAATTGGAATTGGGAGATGCTTGCTTCTAGGGCCCGCCCCCATGGCCCTTCAAGACGGCCCAAGAGAGCCGCACTCTCAAGCTATGGCCTTCACGTACCATCAGGGTCTGTGCGTTTTGTTGGCCCAGTGTTTCGCACGGTATCTAGAGCAGATGGGATCAATTGGTTGTTTGAGTAGCAGGGGTTTGCAACAACGCCGCTGCCAACGTCAGCGCAGATTGGTTTATGTTTCTCCACCGTCCAGCGCTAGCAAAGATCTCGGCGTATGGCCACTGGCGCGCCTTCATTCGCCGCTGGTCAAAGGTGTCGGCGAATTGCTTGTCTCCCTCGCTGGCTGGGCGCGAAGCTACTCCATATGGCGTCTAACTCCCTCTGCGGGTGCAAGTATTGAACGCAGCTTTGCCCATTCTAGTGCACTTTCAGTCGAACGGTTCAGGCGCGTATGTTTCAATGTTTAGGAATGGCGCTCGCTCAACAGCGTCTGTGTCGCTCACAGGGTTGCAGTCTTGGCTTAAGTGCCTGACAATCATGCTTCAGGTCAAAGGTGTGCACGACGATGTCGATGTATCTAGATGGGCATGCCAGACGCGGTGTCTTGACATATTGGATAGAAAAGTTGTTGCCGCAGCCACGGAAGGACATACGAGTGGAGGTGAGCACGGTTGTCATGGATCAACACAGCTAACCGTTGTTGGAGGTATTGATTTAGATGCGTTGTCGTGATGTTTGGTGTTGTTTGTACCGCATTTGGCCACACGAACGTCGGTTACATGATTGTAGCCGATACCCGGGCGATCGCATCTCGCGACGCATGTATTCGAGTAGCTAGCGGCACCCATGGTTTGGAACAAATATATACGGTTTCGAATAATTATCTTTTTAAAAAACATGGAGTTGCGACCAACCCCGCTACCGCGCCAGCGAAGGCATCGAACGTATACAGCATGATTGTACAGAGTTCTCCCCGATAAGCTCGGTCGAAGCATTTGTCTACGAGGCCCCTCTGTGCCTGCAGGGCGCTGTGAGGCCGTGTTGGAGCGCCACGGTTCGTTTGAGGTCTCCCGAGAGGGCTCGGCAGTGCAATCCGAGGGTCGTCTTGGAAGCAGCGTTGCGATGCTGTAGCGTGGCGCGGCTTTCATGTTGCATACTCGTCGCGCTGCCTCATGGAGACATGTCTACTTGTTCGTTGGTCTCATTAGTGGCCTTGGGGGTGGCCTGGGGCCGCCTTGGGCTCGGATCGATCGGGCAATCCCGAACAGGCGTTATCAAACAGTCTCGGGGCTGTGTGTACAACATTTTGTCTGGGAGCCATAGTACGCAATACTTGAGGGTGTTCAGGCCTCCTTGGCACCCTGCTGAGGCAGGCAGCCTCGGAACGTCCTGGGGCGTCTTGACATTTTCAGTTGTTATTTGACTGTGTTCTGAGCCGTTCCTGAACCTATATGAGACCGAAACGTCTAAGTGTCCCTAGTCGTGGAAGTGTGATGGTTTTATGTTCTTCACTGCTGGTTGTTTCCTACGGCTCTCCGAGCTTTCACGACGAGGAGATCAGTTCTGGAGCACATCAATTCTGTAGCCGATCTCCTGCTCGACGCAGAGGCGTGTACCGGCCTCCATCCACCAGGCAGCAGGCAGCGGCGGCGTCTGCCTCTTCGGAGGCGACAGCGGCCGCGGCGGCCCCCGCGTCGACTTCCACCGACGCCTGGCCGCCCCCGCCCAAGGCGCACTCTCCTGGGAGGGGGGTCGCGCGAGCCGGCAGGCGGCCCGCCACGCCGGGGGCACACCGCACGGCCCGCAAGCAGCCGCAGCGAAGGGGCTCACGTGGTGCCCCGCACACGGCGCCGCGAGCCAGACCCCCGCAGGCGCGGCAGTGAACTGCAGGTCGGGCCTGCCAAGGGCGCCGGTCCAGCTGGGCCCTCGTGCTCGCGAGGGGCCGAATGCGGCAGCGCCGCGGGGGGCTGCGCGCAGTCGAGCAGCGCGCTCTGGGCCCAGGCCGCGCATCTGGGTCGAGGTCGAGCAGCGCGTCGTCGTCCTGGGCGCCACCCGCGTTGCAGGTTGCCGCCGCCGCCCCGGCGTCAGAGCCTTCGGCCTCCTCGACTTCCTTCACCTCCGACGCAGTCCCAGCCACTGGGAGGGGCCAAAATGTTATCGCGGCCTTGGATGGGTTGCTCGCACGTCGTCTCGGACCAAGCGCGCCAGCACAACCAGGAGACGGGCGTTCTGCGGCGCGGGTCGACGAGCGCGGCGACGAGGCTGGGAGGTGCACCAGGTAGGGACGGGTCAGGGCGAGCAACTCTGCGATTCATCAGCCCTGAAGCGCCACTGATGGCACCCCCGCGCGCACGGGTCCGTTGAGGGGGAGCCCGCTGGTTCCTGACATCGCCGTCACCGCCAGGTACGCCACTGATCGTAGCAATGGCTTGTGGCACGGCCCCTCCCCGTAGGCGGAAACGGAGAGAGGAGAGGAAGAGGTTGAGCGGTGGAACTGTCGCCGTTCCTCCCGATCTGGTTGACAACGCCGTCGCCGCAGGATTCATCAGCAGCGCGAGGGGCGATCTGGGCGCTCCCAGACAGCACTCGTCGAGGCGAACTGGTGCGAGGGTCCCCTGAGGTCTCCAACACTCCAGGAGAAGGCTGGAGACCGTCGAGCTGCTCGCGGTCGTACTGCTGGAGTTTGCCCCGCTGCTCACGATCGTGTTGATGGAGTCCGTACTGTTGGTGGCGATGGTGCTGCTGGAGTCCGCCTTGCTGCCGCTGGTCGTGATGCTGGAGTCCGTAATGCTGCTAACGGTGGCGTTGCTGGAGTCCGTCATGCTGCGCATGGTGGTGGTGTTGGACCGTCGTGCTGTTCACAGTGTTGCCGTTGGAGTCTGTCGTGCTGCGCACGATCGTGCTGCTGGAGTCCGCCGTGCTGCCCGCGGTGCTGACGCTGCAACCCGTCGCGCCGCTCGCATTCGTGCTGCTGGAGGCCTACGCGCCACTCTCGCGGCAGCGCGTGCGCGTCCAGATGCGAGGGCGAGGGTGCTGGCGCCGGTGCTCCTCGCTGTGCTGGCGAGGATGATGACGACGGCGGTCCAGGCCGCGCTGACGGGGGTGATGGCGTCGGTGCTCTCGGCTGTGCCTGTGCTCTCGGCTGTGCTTGCGAGGATGCTGACGTCGGGGCTCTCCGCTGGGCTGGCGTCGGGGCTCCTTGCGGCGGTCGCGAAGGTGCTGTTGTTGGGGCTGACGAGGATGCTGGCGTTGGTGCTCTCGGCTGCAATGGCGAGTGGGGGGGCGTCGGCGCTCCTGTCGGGAATGTTGTCGTCGGTACCCCTGGCCGCGCTGGCGAGTCTCCTGGCGCCGGCACTCCTTGCTGAGCTGGCGGGGATGCTGACGTCGGTGCTCCACGCTGTGCTGGCAAGGATGCTGGCGTCGGCGCTCCCCGATGTGCTACCGCGGACGTTGTCCACGGTGGCCTAGGCTTCGTCGACGGGGAGGCTGGCGTCGGTGATCTGATCCAGGCACTGCTGACGAGGATGCAGGCGTCGGTGCTCTCGGCTGCGCTGGCAAGGACGATGCAGTCGGTGCTCTTGGCTGCGATGGCGACAATGCTGGCTTCCGTGCTCTCGGCTTTACAGGCGAGGGTGCTGCCCTCCATGGACCCAGATGTGAGGGCGAGGATGCTGGCGCTGGTGCACCCCGCTGTACGGGCGAGGATGCAGGCGACGGGGATCCAGGCTGTGCTGATGGGATTGCGGGCGTCGGTGCTCTCGGCTGCGCTGGCGGGGATGCTGGCGTCGGTACTCCTGGCTGCGCTGGCGAAGCTCCTGGCGTCGGCGCTCCTTGCCGAGCTGGCGGGGATGCTGATGTCGGTGCTCCATGCTGTGCTGGCGGGGGTGCTGGCGGAGGTGCTCCCCGCCGTGCGACCGAGGATGCTGACCACGGTGGCCCAGGCTGCCTTGACGGGCATGCTGGCGACGGTGATCCAGGCTCTGCTGAAGAGGATGCCTTGCGCCAGTGCTCTCGGCTGCGCACGCGGTGGCGCTGACGTCCGCGCTCCCGGAGGCGGAGGCGAGGATGTTGGCGTCGGTGCCCCCCGCTGTGCTGGCACGGGCGCTGGCGACGGGGATCCAGGCTGCGCTGGCGGGGATGCTGGCGTCGGTGCGCTCAGCTGCGTCGGCGGGGGGATGCCAGCGCCGGAACTCCCGGCTGCGCTGGCGCGAAGCCCCCAGCAGCGGCGACCCCCGGCGGAGCTGGCGAGGATGCTGACGTCGGTGCTCCGCGCTGCGCTGCCGAGGATGCTGTCGTGGGTGCCCCAGGCTGTGCTGACGAGAACGTGGGAGTCGGCGCTGTCGATTGTTGTGATTGCGAGGCTGCTGTCGTGGGTGCCGCCGGCCGCGCCGGCGAAGATGCCCCCGGCTATACCGACTGCAGCGCACCCGATTGTGTTGGCCAGGATGTCGGTGTCGGGGTGTTCCCGATAGTGCTGGCGAGGATGCTGACATCGGAGCTCCCCGCCGTGCTAGTGGGGATGCTCGCGTCGGCGATCCCTGTCGGAGTCCGTCATCCTGCTCACGACGGCACTGCCAGCGCCCGTCCTGCTGCCCACGGTTGCGTTGCTGGGGCCCGCTTGCCAGCCGTGGCGGCGAGGGCCCTCCAGAACTAGCAGCGGCAGCAGAACCTACCCCTCCTTCGCCCCGAGAAGTCGGCCGCGGCGACGAGGGCTCTCCAGGATGAACAGCGGTGCCTGGAACTTCCCCTCCTCCGCCTCCCCAAAATCCTCCGACTCCCCGAGAGTCTGGCCGTGGCGACGAGGGCTCTCCAGGACGAGCAGCGGCACCAGGTTCGCCCCCTCCCCCGACTCCTCGGAGCTGCCCTGCACTCCCAGCGCCATTCCAGCCAGGGATGCGACTGGCTGCCCGGCGGACAGGTGGAAAAGCGCTTGCCAGGTCCCCCGGTTCAGCAGCACGACCCGGGCTGGCCGCGCCGCCTTCCGAGGGGCCCCGCAGTCGAAGGGGGCTAAGGTCGTCATTTCCACTACTGCTTACACCAAGGATGCGACTACCTGCCGCGCAGGCAGGTGGAGGCGCGCCTGCCCGGTCGTGCGGTTCCACAGCATGGCCTGGGCTGACCACGCTGCTCTCCGACAGGCCTTGACGGCGACGCGGGCCTGGGCCCCGCAGACTCGGGGGGGGGGATGGCGGGGTCGCCGAGAGGCTCACCATCCAGGCCCACACAAGGTTCACGGCACCCGCCGATCCCGCCGCGCGGGCCCTTATCCAGATTTGACCTCGCCATCTCTGGGGGGGTATTGCGAAACCGTCAGCACTTTCGAGGGCTGTTGGGGGGCCAGCACAGTGGGACCCCATTCGGATTCACACTCGCCATCCGTACCCAACGCTGTCCAGGCCAGGGATGCGACTCACCGCCGCGCAGACAGTCAAGAAGCTGCGCTGGCAAGGATGGGGACATCGCGGCACCAGGCTGCGCTGCCAAGAGTAGTGGCGTCGGTACGGTACTCCCAGTTGTGCTGGCGAGGATGGTGGCGGTGCTCCTGGCTGCCCCTGTCCACCATCTTCTCGCTCGCTGATCTCCGCTTCGTATATGATGGCTCTGTGGTCTGACTGGGAGATCGGCACTTCGCTGAGCAGCGGCATGCCCCGCCGCC